TTTTTGTTCACCTGCCTCTTGGGGATTGACAGCAAGTTCTCAATGGGATTAAGGTCTGGGGAGTTTCCTGGCCATGGACCCAAAATTTCAATGTTTTGTTCCCCAAGCCACTCCATCATGCTGGAAAAGGCATTGTTCATCACTAAACTGTTCTTGAATGGTTTGGAGAAGTTACTCTTAGAGGATGTTTTTGTACCATTCTTTGTTCATTGCTGTGTTTGTGCATAAAATTTGTGAGGGAGCCCACTCCCTTGGCTGAGAAGCAACCCCACACATGAATGGTTTCAGGATGCTTTACTGTTGGCATGACACAGGACTGATGGTAGCACTCACCTTTTCTTCTCCGGACATGGTATTTTCCAGATGCCCCAAACAATCGGAAAGGGAATTCATCAGAGAAAATGACTTTACCACAGTCCTGAGCAGTCCAATCCCTTTACGTTTTGCAGAATATCAGTCTGTCCCTGATGTTTTTGCTGGAGAGAAGTGGCTTCTTTGCTGCTCTTCTTGACACCAGACCATCCTCTAAAAGTCTTCGCCTCACTGTGCGTGCAGATGCACTCACACCTGTCTGCTGCCATTCCTGAGCAAGCTCTGCACTGGTGGTGCCCCTAACCAGCAGCTGAATCAACTTTAGTAGACGGTCCTGGCACATGCTGGACTTTCTTGGGCGCCCTGAAGCCTTCTTCACAACAATTAACCCTTTCGCTGCTAAGCCCTCCGAAACATTTTTCAATTCAGCTGGCCACGCCATTTTTGCAAATTTTCCCATTGATTTGATTTTCAACTGCTGCGTTGCTAGCGTTTGTAAAAGACCCCCCCAAACCATATATTTTCTGAATGCGCAGGCCCGGTAGACTAAAAAGATGGTGCTACTAAATTTGTAGGCCCTGCGATAATTGCGCAAATGTTTCTCAAATTAATATTAAACTGATAAAAATACACAATTCAATTGATTAAACACACCAAAATCAGTATCACTGCACAAAAAAAATATATATTTTATGACTAAATCTAAAATCTAAAACGGTATTGAGTTAATAAACAACAAATATTTGCAAATTTTAAATTGCGCCTTTTTGCGAAAAGGTAAAAATATGAAGGTACGCAAAACTGTAAATAAGCGGCTTATGTTAATTGTTTTTACACTGTGTTGGTGTTTGTGTTGTGATAAAATGATACAGGCGTATATTTAATTGCAACACAAGGTATCACAACGCACTGCAATGCGTCGCAAAGCTTTGCCATGCGCTGCCACAGTTAATTTAATGTTTTTTTAACCACTTGAAGACCGGGGTGTTTCACCCCCTTCCTGGCCAGGCCATTTTTCAGTGTTCAGCGCTGCGGTACTTTGACTGACGTTTATTCATGCAATGCTGTACTGATACGAATTTCATACCATTTTTTTGGGGACAGATAGAGCTTTATTTTTTACTATGTATCAAAAAAGTACCCTAAATTTTGAAAAAAAACATGTTTCCCTATAAAATTTTATGAAACATTTATTTTCACCCCAATTTTTTGGTATAATATAAAAGGCGGGGTCACGTTAGACACTAAACATGTCAACCTTTAAAATTGCGCGTGCCCGCGAAATCTGTTATGGTCGCTAAAGCGAAAATGCCACCGACGTAAGGCATACTGAGCTGGCCAGCCGGGTACACTTTTGTTCCGCCGTATGCCTTACGTCGGTGGCAGCGAAAGGGTTAAACCTCTTTCCTTGAAGATCCGATAAATGGTTGATTTAGGCGCAATCTTAGTAGCAGCAATATCCTTGCCTGTGAATCCCTTTTTGTGCAAAGCAATGATGACCGCACGTGCTTCCTTGCAGGTAACCATGGTTAATAGAGGAAGAACAATGATTTCAAGCACCACCCTCCTTTCAATTCTTCCAGTCTGTTATTCTAATGCAGGGCACACACCTTACAACCATGGTTGTAAGGTAATTTAAAAAAACGTACGATCTGCCTATCTTGGACAGGCAGATCGTACTTGCGATGATCGCAAGCCCGCCCTGCTGAGGGGCGGGCTTCCGATGACAGCAATGCTGAACGGGCAGTGTGCGCTTGCGCACCACGGCTCGTGCGGCATTTATCTTACGAACATGCCACACACCCGCCGACAATCGTACGATTCTCGGCGGGTTTTCGAACGTGTTCCTAAGATAAGTCGTGCGACCTTACAGTAGCAGAGGTCGCACGCCTTCCACACACCTTGCGATAATCGTACAATCGCGGGATTTCCTGTGATTATCGTACGATTATCACAAGGTGTGTGGGCACCTTTAGGGCCTGTTCACACGACATCTGTTTTCTGCGCTGACCTGATCCGTTCGCTCCTGCACTAAAAATGCATCCCAATGTATCCCTATGTGTTCTATGGGCTACAGTTCTCACGTGCGCAGTCCGTTCAGGTTACGACAGAAAAAATACTGCATGTCACATTTTGTCAGGAAACGGACCGGAAACGCAAAACCCTATGTAATGGCAATAACAATAAGTGTAAAAAATAAATATATAAGTCCAGAGCAGCCTGTATTGCTCCCGAGGTTACCTATGGGCTTTTCTTTGTATGCTGAACAATTCTTCTGGCAGTTGTGGCTGCAGTCTTTCTTGCTCTACCTGACCTTGGCTTGGTATCAAGAGATGCCCGAATTCTCCACTTCCTAATAAGTGATTGAACAGTACTGACTGGCCTTTTCAAGGCTTTGGATATCTTTTTATATCCTTTTCCATCTTTATAAAGTTCCATTACTTTGTTACGCAGGTCTTTTTTCTGCTCCCCATGGCTCATTATCTAGCCTGCTCAGTGCATCCACGTGAGAGCTGACAAACTCATTGACTATTTATGCACAGACACTAATTGCAATTTAAAAAGCCACAGATGTGGGAAATTAACCTTTAATTGACATTTTCACCTGTGTGTGTGTCACCTTGTGTGTTTGTAACAAGGCCAAACATTCCAGGGTATGTTAACTTTTGATCAGAGCCATTTGGGTGATTTCTGTTATCATTATGATTTAAAAAGGAGCCAAACAACTGTGATAACAAATCACATACACACACCGATCATCATCACACAAGTCATCGAGCATTATGACCACCTCCTTAATATTGAGTAGGTCCCCCTTTTGATGCCAAAACAGCCCTGACCTGTGGAAGCATGGACTCCACAAGGCCTCTGAAGGTATGCTGTGGTATCTGGCATCAAACCGTCAGTTGCAGATCCTTAAAGTCCTGTAAGTTGCGATATGGGGCCTCCATGGATTGCACTTTTTTTCCAGCACATGCCACAGATGCTTAATCGGACTGAGATCTGGAGAATTTGTAGGCCACCTCAAACTTATTGTGTTTCTCAAACCATTCTTGAAACATTTTTGCAGTGTGACAGGGCACATTATTCTGCTGAAGAGGCCACTGCCATCAGGTAATGCTGTTTCCATGAAAGGGTTGTCTTGGTCAGCAACATTGTTTAGGTAGGTGGTAAGTGTTAAGGTGCCCATACACCTTACGACCATCGCAAGACTTTTGTCTTGCGATGGTCGTGTGCTTATTGAAAGCTCGTACGATCTGCCCACCTTGGACGGGCAGATCGTACTTGCGATCATCGAAAGCCCGCCCCCGCTGAGGGGCGGGCTTCCGATGACCGCAATGCAGAACGGGCAGTGTGGCACACCGGCCCGTTCCACAGCTATCGAACGAGCAGGCTAGAAACCCGCCGACAATCGTACGATTCTCGGCGGGTTTTCGAGCATGCTGGTTCGACAAAAGATGTGCAACCGTACAGTAGAAACGGTCGCACGCCTTCCATACACTGTATGATTCTCGTACGATCGCGGGATTTCCCAAGATTCTCGTACGAGAATCGTACAGTGTATGGGCACCTTAAAAGTAGCCTTTTTTTTCTGCTTTCAACACATCAACTTCAAGTAGACAAAGTGTTCACTTGCTGCCTAATCCCACTTCTAGGTGCTATTGTAACGAGATAATCAGTGTTATTCACTTCACCTGTCAGTGGTCATAGTTGATATTTGATTTGGTTGGAAAAGTATATAAAGATGTTTTGTTTTTTTAAAGTTTTTTTCTTTCTTTTTTTAGTTTTCCCTTTTCTCAGTTTATGTTCTCTCTCCCATCATAATGGTTTTCTGTATACATCTACACAATCAAATGGCACCTGAGCATCACAGTTTTACTGCAGTGACTAAAGTGGAATATGCACTTGTTTGTAGTCCAACTAGAAGTGCTTGTGAATACACCGTGCTGGTAGGATCACAAGGAATTATTTTATTTAAAAGCAGGAAATATAAAGAAAAATATTAACATTTTTGAAATGATAGTGTGAGCAGGCGATCGGTAGCTGGCACATAAGACCCCTGGGAATAAGCAGTCTCTTGTGCACAGATACCAAATCCAGGAGAGTAGTGGCAAACAGTGCAGTGTTTATTAGTGATATTAACAAGAGCATTCACAGGTGCTGTACAGTGGTTCACAAGAAATCAAAATAAAACCTAGCCGTATCCCAACACTAACTTCATACACAAAAGATAGGTCCTAACTAACAGGCTGAGCAGGGCTACCGCTTGTCAGCCTCCACATAAACTGTTTGTAAGTTTTCACCAACCTTGCAGCTCTCTCTGAGTACAGGTTCCAGGTGAGACTAAATTGCCAGTGGAGAGAGGAGTAAACCCTGCACTGGAGCCCGGATCAGCAATCCCTAAATGTATAGGAGAGGAACCTGGCAGACCTATAAACTCTGAACAGGACTTTCCCAGGCTCCCTCTGGGATGCTCTGCTACAATAGGAACGTCTGTAACCGCATATTTGGTTAAAGTGCTTGGGTTTAGATGCACTTTTTCTAATTCTTTTAACAGCCATGCAGACCCCATAAACAGAAGGGGATTATTTATAAAGGCGTAATTATTTGTTAAATGATTCTGTAAAATTAATTTGGTGTATGTTGTTGTATAGTTTGTTATAATCGGTTCCTTTCTCATCCTATAGGGAAAAAGTCCCATGACCTCCGGGAGTACGATCCTCTCACACAGGCTGACAGTGATGAGAGCGAGGACGACCTTGTTATTAACATCCAGCACAATGGACTTCAGAATGGAAAGGGCACCCAAGATAGAGCAAATGAAATCGATTCTGATGTTGAAGAAATTTCAAAGCGGGTTCAGCAGCGACGTGTAGATAATAAACAGGATGGTTTAGCTGCTACAAGTGGGCTGGAACCACAGCTTAAGGCAACATCTTCATTGGTGTCTTATGTGCGGACTACAGTATTCCTTCTCACAGTTGTCATCTCTATGATAATGGTTCTTGTTTGTGCTTTCTTAATCCCTTGTCCACTGAGTAGTCAGCAGAATGTTTGGTATGTCAACACGGGTTATGAGCCTGGTAAGCAAATTTTAATAGTATAATGGTATATGCAGAATAGTTTGCTCTTAACTTTTGCCTATAATCTAGCCTTCTTGGTCTATAGACTGTTCAAGAACTGTGAAATTTTAAGGTTAAAAACTAGGATTGCTCTAAAAGTTGGAATAAAAAAGAATCCAGTGAATAAACTGGGACTTGGTTCAAATTCTGTGGTTAGTTTTAAATATTAATCTAATAATTAGGGCTGCAACTACCAATTCATTTCATGGTCGATTTTAGTTGGCCGATAATTTTTTTTAATTGGATACAAATAAACGACATATCATCTTTTATTTAAAATAAAATACACAAATGGAGTATTACAAACATAATGTTTACTTCAGAATAAAACTGCTTGCACAATTTTTTTAAATCGCACCGCACTGGAACACACAGCATTAGGGTACCAAGGGTTCTAGTGTGGGCGGGAGGGCATTTGGTGTGCCATTGAAATGAATGGCACTGCAACGCACCTCCCGAAGCAGAATTTGTCAGGCCGAAACCAAAAATGACTTGCGACCTCTTTTTTAATTTTTTTTAAATAATTTTATGTATTATATTAGACATTTTATTTAGTTTCATGGATTTAAAATCTGAATTGAAAAACTCCAAGCCAATATAATAAAATACCAAACTTTTGTTTAAAATAACTCACCAAAATTAGACAACAAATACAATTATATATAAAATAATATAATATCCTGTGTATGTGAGATAGATATCACTGTACAAAAGTTTTAGGCAGGTGTGAACAAATGCTGTAAAGTAAGAATGCTTTCAGAAATAAAAAGGTGTTAATAGTTTATTTTTATCAATTAACAAAATGGAAAGTAAATGAACAGAAGAGAAATCCAAATCAAATCAATATTTGGTGTTACCACCATTTGCCTTCAAAACAGCATCAATTCTTCTAGGTACACTTGCACATTTTATGAAGGAACTTGGCAGGTAGCATGTTCCAAACATCTCGGAGAACTAACCACAGATCTTCTGTGGATGTAGGCTGCCTGAAATCCTTCTGTCTCTTCATGTAAACCCAGACAGACTCCCAGATAGGGCTATGTGGTGGCCCAAACCATCACTTCCAAGACTTCTTGTTCTTCTTTACGCTGAAGGTAGTTCTTAATGACATTGGTTGTATGTTTAGGGTCGTTGTCTTGCTGCAGAATAAATGTGGGGCCAATCACACACCTCCCTGATGGTTTGGCATGATGGATAAGTATCTGCTTGTATTTCTCAGCATTTAGGATACGATTGATTCTCACCAAATCTCCAACTCCATTGGCAGAAATGCAGCCCCAGACCAGCACGGAACCTACATCATGCTTCCCTGTTGCTGCAGACACTAATTATTGTACTGCTCTCCAGCTCTTTGGCAGACAAACTGTCTCCTGCTGCAGCCAAATATTTCCAGTTTTGACTCATTGGTCCAGAGCTGTAAAGCCTCGCTTCTCTTATCTATGGGAATGGATCGCAACTGCGGAGTTTCATGGATGGGGATCAGTTGTGCAGCTGAACTCTGTTGCCCTGTATTTGGTTAGGCGGATCGAGGGCTGCTTAACATCATACTCCCCTTGGCAACAATGGAAGTGCCACTCCTCTGGTAGTTAGAGAGAGAAGTTCAGCGCAATAGCACACAGGGTTAATGGCTGTGAGTAACAGCAAGGAGTTTAGCTAGCAGGTGTATGAAGTTCAGCACAACAGCAGTAGCACACAGAGTTAATGGCTGTGAGCAACAGCAAGGAGTTTAGCTAGCAGGTAATGAAGTTCAGCACAACAGCAATAGCACACAGGGTTAATGGCTGTGAGCAACAGCAAGGAGTTTAGCTAGCAGGTAATGAAGTTCAGCACAACAGCAATAGCACACAGGGTTAATGGCTGTGAGCAACAGCAAGGAGTTTAGCTAGCAGGTAATGAAGTTCAGCACAACAGCACTATAGTAGTGTCCTGGTAGCCAGGAGGCATAAGCATCTACTTGCGGTTTGTTTGGTGGTCAATGGTAGAGCCCTGAGACTCTTGGATCCGACGACCTGCTTGTGGCTGATGATCCTGAAGGGCAGCAAGGCAGACACTGATTGATCAGTGTCCTGCTGCAATCAACAGTAGGACGCCGATCAATCAGTGAGCAGCAGCTTTAGGCCGGCTGCTCGAATGAGGTGGGCGGAGTCCCAGGGAGTGCCTGCGCACTACTGAGTCCCTGCTAGGAGGTGAGGGGTTACCACGGCGCGCCTGCGCAGGGCGGTGTTGGAGCCTGACGGTGGACCGTAACCCGGTACGTCTATTACAAGAGCACCTGCTGCCATTTTTCTGCACCCCATTTCCTATGTTTTCATGCATAGTTGGGTTGCTTAGCCTTGTTTCCACATTGGAGCTATGGCTTTTTGGCAATTCTTCCATAAAGAGCACTTCTGGCCAGACTTCTCCGGACAGTAGATGGGTGTACCTGGGTCCCACTGGCTTCCACCAGTTCGGTGCCGATGTTGAAGGGAAGTAAGCATGATGTGTCTTTTATCTGCTGCATAAACTTTCCTTAGCCGACCATTGCGTATACGGTCCTCAACCTTGCCCGTTTCTTTGTGCTTCTTTAAAAGAGCTTGAACAGCACACCTTGAAACCCCAGTCTGCTTTGAAATATTTGCCTAGGAGAGACCTTGCTGATGCAGTAGAACTACCTTGAGGGGAATTTATCAAAACTGGAGCAGATTTGCACTGCAGCCAATCAGCATCTCTCTCTCATTTTCAAATCTTACCTGAGCAAACTGTAGAGAGATGCTGATTGGTTACCATGGGCAACTGCTCCAGATTCTGTTTGCTCCAGTTTTGATACATTTCCCCCCCTTGTGTCTTGTTGCTGTGCTCAGTCTTACCATTGTGTTATGACCTGTGACATGAAACTGTTTTCCATAACTCAGTTATGGAGTTTGGCTGTTCCTCACCCAGTTTTAAGCCGCCTACACGGCATTCTTTGTTTATGACTGTGTTTCAACCTACCTATGAAATTGATGATCATTAGCACCTGCTTAGTATAATTGGTTAATCTAATCCTACAAAACCCCTGACTTTGCAAGTGTAAAGGTGCCCATACACCTTACGATTATCGGACTAAACTTTTCGTCCGATCGAACCGTCGTACGATCCTGCCCCGATTATCGAAAGGCTCAATCAGCTGTAGTTAAAAAAAACCACCTGGACGACTTGCGGTAAGTGACCACAATTATTTTAGTTTGCGCATGCGCACTGTTAATCGTACGACTTTTGACGGACGGAAACGCCACCAACCATGCGAACATCGTACGATCGACCAAAGTTTTCAAACATGCTTGACCGTCAAAAGTCGTACGATTGTACAGTACTATCAGTCGTGCACTCTATTCACACGTTACGATTGTCGTACGAAAAGTCGATCGCATACGATTATCGTACAATAATCGTAAGGTGTATGGGCACCTTATGAATTAATGCTGGTTGAAAGCCAAAGGGTAGTCACACCAAATATTGACTTGATTTAGATGTCTCTTCTATTCACTCATTTTGTAAATTGATAAAAATAAACAATAAAAATATATTTTTTTGAAAGCATCTTTTACAGCTTTTTTTTCACACCTGCCTAAAACTTTTGCACATTACTGTATGTGTGTGTGTATATGTGTATATATATATATATATATATATATATTCTAGTGTCACCTTTCCACTTCAAAGAAGCTTTTTAAGTACACATCACGCTTGAATAGCTCCAGCCGGGGAATGACCGCTGCAGGCAACAAGATTCTGAATTTAAACACAGCAGGCAGTGGGCGGGTGCAATAGTCGGCCTGCTACAGTGGCGTTGGCTGCCAGTTGGTCTTTCGTCCCCGCTGGGTGCCGGCTGCAACAGTCTGTGTCCCCTCCGATCCCCGCTACCTCTGCCAATGCAAGCAGGGGAGAGCATCAGGGATCAGAGGGGGCACAAACTGCAGCATGCAGCGGGCTCCCAGTGGGGAGGAGAGAGCTGCAGGGGAGGTTTGGGGGAGCTCTCCTCACTGATGAGGAACCATCTGCAGGGGTCTGTGAAACAGTAGATAGTTAAAGCAATAAAGATGATTGAGGATACATCAGTTTGGTACCTAGATAAGTTAAACTGTCAGAGATCCCGCGAAAGAGAGTGCTTGAGTGTCATTTAGTTCATGGCCTCCGCAGCCTTGCTGTGTTGTTTTCCCCATATCACAAATATGTGACGAGGTACCATTGACTCTCCTCCCGCACCGCCCCGCTCGACCTCCTGTGACAGGCAGAGGAGTCAGGTTGGAGAGCAGATTACAAGCACTTGGCACACATTGCTCCACTTTTAGCAGGTCAGCACAACTCATCCGAAATCAGAGCAGTGTATGGCCAGCTTTAATTCGTTTATATACCTTTTGGAGCTCAGCATGGTTAGCTTGTAGAGATCTGTTGACATGTACTGATAAAAACATTTTACTTGACTAGAATATGCTAATTTTGTGTTTTGCCCAGATATGAGTTACACACCCAGTATATTTTACACACACAAAATAGGTCTTTCTTGTACATTCTTATCTCTACCAGCAAGTATGCATTCCACCAATTTATGTTACACAAAATTTAATGTTACACAATATAATTCCTGTATACGTTTGTATGTTGTATATTTTGACTATTTGTATGATTCTACCTTCACATCTTCCACTCTCACTGAAGGATTTTTTATGTATTTTATGTTATGGAGAATTGAACAGAAGCTGGAAATTTCCAAGTTGGGAACAAACCGGGGACAAACTTCTGGAATCTCTCCAATAGATGCATAGTTTCATGTTTAGTACTAGGGATGTCCTGATGCAGGCTATTTGTACTCGTGAAAATGCCCCGGTACTAAAGGCCGATAGTGGCCCTTTAAATTTTAAAAAACGAGCAGCTGCCTGAAGTCCCAAACTTGCTGGGGACCTTGCGGCAGCTTTTGGACAGCGCCGGTCTGGCCCCACATCTCCTTCCTGGCGCCCGCAGAGCACTTGACAGCCCCACACCAGCCCATACAGTCCTGGAGCCCGGCATCCACTCATTCATCCCTGGGGAGTCCAGCATCTGCCTGCAGAGCCTGGCACCCACCTGTACAGTGCAGGCCTGGCGAGGCCCGAACACAGCTTTTATAATTGCTGTATAATCATAGATTGATGGGATCTTTAGTCCTCTGTTGCTGGTTGCCATTCTCCATTGCTTAATGATCATGGATTGTGTTACAGTTCTTCATAATTATAAAGAAACTGCCCTAAAATCATTAAGTCTGTATTGTTTTAGAAAAAATTACACATGTCTCTTTTTAAGAAAAAGTATTGGTATTGGTATGGGCAAATACCTGAGGGAAAGAACTTGTACTTGGTCTTGAAAATAAAAATGGTATTGGGATATCCCTATTTAGTACCTTTTGCAATTTCAGAGAAAAAGATTTATCCTGCCAGAAATCTAGTGAGCTTACAATGCTGCATTACATTTTTAGCCCTGCAAAGTTCTCTGTGAACTGCAAAACACCTCTTCCCTACATTTTGCAGATGAGGAGAGGGGAAGGTAGTCCTACCTTACTTTTTTTCCTAGGGTTACAATGGTGCTTTTCCATAGAGAACAATACAGTGAATGAGCGTATATAAAGGAAAAATGGCTTAAAAGAAAAGTAATACAGCCATCACATATATATAAAGGAAAAATGGCTAGAAAGAAAAGTAATACAGCCACCACATATATAGACTGGAATTCTCCAATATATAAAATGTTTGTGATCGGGTTTAGGTACACTTAAAGGAAAGGAAAAAGCATACACTTAAAGGGAGAGAAAAAACTCCCTGGAACTTTTAGCCATAATGTGCTGGTATGCTCAGCGGTCATTTTCTGGGTACTTTATTGGCTGAGCCCCAATGAAGTATCTTCTGTCAAGAATCATACTGAGCCTGCTTCTCAGCATTTTTCCCCACTTTTTTGCTGGAACTGTTTGTGTGTGCGAGGTCATCTAACTGTAAGGCCATACATATGTACTATAAATACACATGATTATATGTAATGAGTAACTGTAGAACATTATTCTATATAGTAAAGTTATGCAGGAAAATAAGCATGTAAAATGTAAGGTACTTTACAGTGGAAAAGGTGGTGTGTCTTTTGCAAACGGGTACGTGAATTTGGCATAAGCACTGCCATTTGCAGCAACGGAGGTGCAGTGAGGCCGAAGTATGCCATATTGGTATGCTGAACTGGTTGTCTTCTCCTATATATATATAATTTGTAAATGAATTTAGTTCTGTAGACAGGCTTTTTTCATCAGAGCAGCTAAGAGTAGACCGCTAAACACATTAAAAGAAGGTCCACCTGCTGGCTATAAATCAAAATACAACAATATTTTAAATGAATGTACTAAAATCATTTTTATGATATTACTAAAAATAATAAAATTAAATGCAAAACATTAATTGCCTTTATTGTAATGACAACTGCACTGGATTATTTACTGCACTGTAGATATGCTATATACTGTATATACACAATTGAAGCATGAAACACTATGTTTTGAAACAGGTTTTATAGTTTGTAATCTAATGCTTGTGCAGTTATTTATACAGTATACTGGAAACAATTGTGTGATGAGCTTTAGTGGGCTGTAGAAAATTTTGCAACACTGCAATTAAGTTAATTATTTAGTGAAATCAGACAAAACTGGGATTTTTGTATTGAATTCTGTAGAGATCATTTTTCGATTTATGTATTTATTTTTACCATAGAGGTGTCCCCTCCAATGGAGTTGTTTGATGTGAATAAGGATGGTGTACCTGATATTCTCCTGTTGTCTGTGTCACCCAGTACCAACACTTCACTTGGTAAGCAGTAGTTGAGTTTAGATATGTTTATTTCTGTACATATTCTACTGTGTTCTTCAGCTAGAGATTGACTATTTACCTTTTTTCCTTGTTTTGTAGTGGCTTTAGGACAGCAGCCCAGTATTTCTGCTCTCTCAGGCATTAATGGCAGTGTGCTGTGGAAGAGAAATTCTCATGAGTACCTCAGGAGCATTCAGTGTGGGCGACTGGTATTGAAACCCCAGCAACATGACACTTGTCTTTTAACTGGAACATCCAAACTCCTTACTTTAATAAGTGCATCCACAGGTAAGAGAGGTCTCTCCATGGTTTTGTTTTCAGGGATGAGTTATTTTTTAATTTTAAAATTTGCAACATTAGATTTGTTTGACTTGATTATGAAAATGATTGTCTCTTACAGTCCGAATGTACTGAAGCAACACCAGCTGTTGGAAGTGTAGAATCCACTTGTGCAACAACATGTAGGTTTTAGGAGCATTACGATATTGGACACATCAACTTACCCTACATGATGTTAAGTCTCCATTAGGATCCTGGATTAGGGAATTTTAATCATCTAGATACAGTGCCTATAAGGGATTGATTTTACATTAGCATTTTTAAATCCCTGAACAAAATCTGAAATAGGCTTTCAGTTGGGAGGTCATGAACAGCAGAAGTAATTTGGTATCAGCGGGTCTCTACCACATTGCTGTACGCCACTTCTTAACTGAAGGGGGTTTCTAATTTCTCACTAAATATGTAAGACTCCTTTTAATAAGAATATCTAGCAAAGTATACCCTATCATGCTGGCATTTCAAATTAAAATAATTCCCTTTCCTTTATTCATCTTCTGTACCATCCTTTTTGTAGGAACGTAAACTTTTCGAAGTTCATTTTTTTAAACCATTGTGACTCACTTAGTACAGCAGGATATGGGGAGGCCACCTGCTTTGCTAAAAACTCTTACTGGACAATTGAGGGACAAAAAACAAACGGCTGCTTAGCAACTGTGCTTGCTGAGTTTGTACCCCTATTAACCCTTAAGAGCAGTCAAGTTATGCTCTTTGTGGCTTTACATAATGTTGTCCATGGCTTTTGTTGTCTTTGCATGAGAGTGGTGCTGTGTCTGGAAACACCCATGTCCAATAAAGGGATATCTACTAAAAAATTATTTCAGTTTTTGGTATATGAAGTATATTTAAATTGCCTGCCAATTTCTTGCCTGTCTCGACTCTTAAGGTGCACATACGCTATACAACCCTCGCAAGACTTTAGTCTTGCGAGGGTTATAAAGTAATTAAAAAAACGTACGATCTGCCCATCTTGGACAGGCAGATCGTACTTGCGATCATCGCAAGCCCCCCCCCCCCTGAGGAGCGGGCTTCCGATGACTGCAATGCTGAACGGGCAGTGTGTCTCACGTGGGTTTCCTCCGGGCACTCCAGTTTCCTCCCACACTCAAAAGACACGCTGGTAGGTAATTTGGCTGTTGTCTGAATTGGCCCTGGTTTGTGTATGCAGGAATGTGTATGTGAGTCTAAAAAGCCCAACTCCAGCCTTCTATGAGAGACATTGGTAACACTCTGTTGAGTGGCTCATGCAGCTATGGTATGAATTTCAGGCATGGAGCCACAGAAAATTAAGGTTCCAAGGTTAGAGGTGCGTCAAAAATCACAATGTGGTATTGTAGGGGATGGTAGAGAATGCAACATGGGAGAGAACACAAAGGTGGGTGAAAATACTGTAAACTCTGAAGTGGACAGCAACAGAGGTGGAAATTATTGCTGAGGGATGTCGCTGTTTGGGGTATCTAAGATATATAAGAAGCTGCAGGGTAACTTGGACCACCAGACTTCACCTGTAGTTAAACTATCACTTTTGGGTGGACTGATTCTTTAAACCTTTTAATGACTCATTGCTTGTGCTGTTGGGACTGGTGTTTTTGCTAGTTTTTTTTAAGCTAGTGCTTATGGAGGTAGAAAAGCTGGTGAAAGGGCTAGTGAAAAAGTGGAATTTACAGTTTGCTTGATGAAATGTGCTACAGAGCATTGCTTGATAATGTTTTGGTTTAGCATCTGCTTCAGTAGTCCTATAAATTGCCACTATATTGCCTGAAAGTCCAAACATATTTTTACTCAATAGTAATGACCATTCTGTACTTACTGCTGAAAGTGAGGGTTAGCAGCTGTGCTAGTGATTGTGTCTTTCTTTGCCAGCTTTTCTTGAGTTGTCCCTTCTTCATACAAAAATTCCCCAGCACTCGATTCAGATAGCACAGAAAACCTAACTGCAAATATACATGTGAAGCTACACTGCCCTGCCAAAGCACATCTGTAAAGTGTGATCCTTAACTCTAAAGTGTATAAATCTCAAACTGAGCCATGTATATAGCAGTGAATAAATACAAAGCAAGCTTTCCTTGGAGATAGCACAATCCTTCTTAAAGCACAACAACACAACAGATGTCCTTCCTTACCCAAGGCACCTGAAGACACCTAGTGTGTGTCTGAACCAAATGCATCAAATCAAAATATCAGCCACTCAAATCCATAATAAAACTAACAATGGAGAGGTGCACATGGATGGGGCATTACACTCAAAAATACAAGCATTCCCAAGATTTTCCCCATCAACACACAGTATATACTAGACAGTGTTGGCATCTTCCCCCTCCCTTTATAATGGTCCCTGACAGTAGTGAGGCAAATGCTGGACCTTTTTCACATTGCTGCACAAATGTCAAAACTTTGCATTAATGAAGGGGCAACAGTGCTACCAGTTGTAAGAAGTTTACTCAGAAAGCCCTAAAAAATGTGGATTATGGATTGTCTGGTGCACAGGGTTGTTGTGCCACACATGACAAGAAGCTAACCTTGGATTGTATAATCGGATTGGCCCTGTAGATTCAGTTTGACCTCCTAAAGCAAGCAGTGTTCTGTCTTGCATTAAGAAGGGAATGTATTGCAGGGACAAGTCTATAATTTTGCCACTTTACAGATCACTGGTTCAGCCACATCTGGAGTATGCGGTCAAGTTTTGGTCACCGATACTCAGAAAAGATGTCCTTGAGCTGGAAAAAGTCCAGCAGAGGGCAACCAAACTCATTAAGGGGTTTGAGGACCTGAGCTATGAAACAAGGTTGTTAAAATTTAAATATGTTTTCTTTGGAGGTTAGGAGATTAAGGGGACATGATTTTCCTGTATGAACTATTCAAGGGCGACAGCAACATTATTAACAAACTGTTTACGGTTAGCTCCGTAACAAAGACCAGAGGGCACAACCAAAAATTGGTGGACAAAAAAAATTCAACACACAGGGCGCAAGCGGTTCTTTACAGTAAGAGCGGTTAAGGTCTGGAACTCGCTACCGCAGGAAGTGAATCCTGGAAGTGTGGAATCATTCAAGAAACTCCTGAACGAGTTCCTCAGAGACAATAATATACAGGGGTACAGGTACGCCTAAGAGCAAAATCATACATGGACTAATGCACACTCACACACCAACTCAAACATAAATGCATACACACAATAGGTTGGACTTATGTCTTTATTCACCCTCAAATACTATGTAACTGACCGTGAGTGCTGTCAACATGATCCTGCATAATGTATGTTTGACTTTGTGTTTAGCAGTAACCACAACACTGTTGCATAGAGTTAATAACATCTAGTTATAGGAAAATGTGCAGCCTATTACAGGAATTAGGCTTGATTTAGAACCTTGAGCTTACAACATTGCTTGTGTTAGACGTTTTTAGATTGTTTTCGATGTTTTAATGTGTGTCATGGCAATACACAGTAAAGGCGCCCTTAGCTCAGCTAGAGAGTGAAGTCTGGACTTGCCATACACTGGACAGGTAAGTATTTAACATCTTGTTTGATAGGGTTCCTATATTTAATTTTTGGTTGCTTTTATGATGCGTTTCTAGATAACAGTATGTGGCTTGATCTCTATATGAATAGTCTATGTATGGGACTGTAGGCTATACCTTTTAGCCAGTACACGATAACACTCTAAGAAATAGTGGGCATTGTATACTGAGCTATGCAGTACTAGCATCTGGCTCTTCGTTGGAAAATGTATTGAATGGGTGAAATAACACAGGGAACAGATTGGGTTGTACTCATAACACCTCTGCTTTTTGTATTATAAAGGGTCAACAATTTGGACCTTGGATAGAAGCCATGTACATCTTGAAACTATGGCAGCACCTGCTGTTTTTTTGCCAGATCTTGATGAGGATAATACCAATGACTTATTGATTCTGACAATTGGACAAAACCAAGTAAGAAACCTCTAATTGTGATTTGAAAATTAGGTTTTATTTGATTGTTCTAAATGCATAACGAATTGCACAAAATTGCTAATAGTGCTTCAAATATTTTAATAGAGATACCATTTATGAAGTGGCATGTATGCTTTACTTAAAGAGAACCAGTCACGAATAGGTCTTTACTCTTAAATTGTTATAAAATGCAGCCTCACCTCTTCGAGATTACTTGATTTTTTAAACAGAACATAGCTTTCAGCCTTAGTGTGATGCTGTAAGAGATTAGTCACACCTGTATGTTGAATGTGCCTTTTACATGCGTGTTATCTTTAATTCCCATCCCATTCATATTGAATGCAATGCACCAAAGATGCTGTGTGCCACACTATACCTTAACGCAATGCACCACATTAACACAGATCATGCACATCTGTGCGTTGTGGTGTGTAACAATACACTGGCACTGCAATGCGTTTTGTTAGTCATTGGGGTGCTTTTCAAAATAGCAATGCACCGCAGTGCACGCATTGCTGTACATTTGCTGTAACGCACAGTAAGGCACGCATTTTACAGTGTGTTCATGCAACACAAGGCTTTTTTGATTGAAAGTTTTTTTTACTCTCCTCAAACAGCCTGAATAGTGCTTTAATTGTCAGTCTGATACTGAGACAAGGAAATAATACAAGAAGATACCGGCACACCTGAGAGGCATGGCTGTGCCATGAAAATATCAGAATGCTGGAAATTCAAATTCCTACAAATGCTCATTCCTGACCAGTTCTCTTTTAAATAGTGTATTTTATGGCATTTTCCTCCCCTATCATATTAGTGAGTTTTTTCGTTGTCTTGAACCACCTTTTTTCACCCCTTCTCACAATTCTTCACTTTTCTATGTCCTCCTGGTCCCATCTCAAAATGTTATTGTTGCTATGGGTCATCTGTTGACACGGAGCCCTTGGTTGACTGATAAAATGGCTGCTTTAGTCATTGATTTTGTCAGTCATGCATAGTCTATTACAGTCCAGTTTACATAAATCTCAGAAGAGAAGTAGCACCTTCCAGAAAAATTATAAATTACATTTATCCTGGCATTGCAGTGGGCTGCTTAAAACATGGGAAGCTTATTACCATTAGGACGTCAGTTCTGGCCCATTGTCCATATCTTTGGCAGAGTGCCAGTGGGCAGAAGAATCTGCTTCCCTTTTTGTGACCTGTTCCGAGTTTACTTCATTGCACATGTATTCAGCCAGAATAGTAATATTGCTCACTCCCAAGTTTAATTTATGATGGCAATTTGATAAGCTGCTTGTGCTGCTTGTTCTGGGGCTTTCTCATCCTTGAGTATCCCATTGCCAACAGTAAAGCTAGGTTGAGGTAAACCATGTTTGGGCCGTATGGATATATTTGGTTAGGTAAAGCGATGCAATAACTAAAGCAAAAAAAAAGAAAGCATTTAAAAAACATAATCTGAAAACATAAAAGGATTATTTGCTGATTAAGATTATTCCTTTCTCGTGTTTCTTACTTGTAGCCAGATCTCGGTTTCCTCTTGGTGTCTGGTCTTACTGGGAAGCCTTTGGGTGGAATTGTAAAATACAACAGGATGGGAGAAGGAAAGGTTATAGACCCCCAGGCATACTACACCAGCCAAGGGGCTATTTACATTCTTTTTGGATTTGGTAAGAAAACTTGTTTAGAAATGTAATTGAAGCTGTATCAGTAAAATGCTCATGTAAGTGTATGAATACTGATGAAATACACCTTTGGAGATTTTTACTCATTGTTGCATGGATGGAGGCAATTATAAGCAAAATAGTTGAAAAAATATAAAAAAAATATAAGCAAAGAATTGAAACAAATCAAAGGCCATTATCTGCACCCTCCAATCAGCATTCAGTCCTCGTTTTCACCTGTACCTGAAAAGTGAAACCTAGAATACCTTATAGCAGGTTGGTGTAAGAAGCAGATTGACTGCTTTTCCAGCTTTTTGCAAATAAAAACCAGGAGTGAGAGATTCTTACTGAATGTCCTCCATTTTGTGTGCTCATACCAGGAAATTAAACCAGGTGTGTTCCATTGCTATTTTAAGTACATTTGGTTTAAAAATTACTGTATTTATAAAGCTAATATTCTTTTTATGATTATTTCAACCCATACGTTTTGAGAATGTGCCACGTTGCTCATCTACATTATATCTTCTCCTAGGGAATATCCAGGTAGTAGCATTAAGAGATATCTATGCACAGGCTAAAAACCGAGATAGTTTCCCAAGTGTATTACAGAAGAAAGAGCCTGACTGGGAGAAGAGAAGGTCTCTCAATCTCTCTGAGTTGATCAGTGTTTACAGGTATGTAAGGTTTGGCATGTTTCTATGTGAATGGCCTAATGAGTTCAGTGGCAAAAGTGAGCCTACTATATTGATCAAGTTCAGGGTTATGATTAATCATATTCTTGTTAGATTTTCTGTTTGGTCACTTCTTCTGCATGTTTTTTTCCCCAGTTGGATGTAGTGTGTTGTAATATACATTACGGCCACTAGATGGAGCTAAGAAGCAAAGAAAATAAGTATTTCCTATGCTGCTTACCTCCATCTAGTGGCCGTAATGTATTACAATACACTACATTTGAACTGGGGGGAAAAATACATTATTTTTGGCATTATTCGCCCAGAACAAACATTCACAGATATTTGCAGGGTGAATTGTTTATACATAGACCCCTTAGTGTTAGGATCAACACATACACTAAACTTAACAATTTACAGAGGAAAGTAACTGTTAAAATGTCTATTCAGAATGGCTAATGTCCCCAACCACCTAGTTGTAGAAATCAGGTGGTGATTGGCTACCAATTGGTGGCAATTTAGCCGTAGAGAGACCCGTTGCTATCAGCCAAAAATGTCAAAACTAGGAATTAGGCCTTTGCCTATTGAGTGGTTTACTTAGTACAATACAAGTTAGTTTGTTCAGTACAACTGCTCAACAGTCTACTTAGCGCCTACAAAGCCATGCCCAAAAAATTTATAGACATTTATATATTGTATATGTATATTTTCATCACCTAAGCAGACACCTCAGTGGTAGGTTTATCTTGGGGCCCAACTTGTTAGGGAAAGTTTTTTTGAGCTGCATCTGCTATAATGTGTAGGTGCTGTAGACATAACAGATCCTTGACCAACTGTAATCATTGGGATGAGGAAATAATTCTTTAAAGTTTCCCTTCTTTGAAATGACTTAAAGCTTAACTCTAGGCAGGAAAAATGCACAAATTAATGCAGCTCTGTAATCAATAATATCTATTAAAAATAAATGCAATCAGTGTATGTACCGGAATTCAATCTTGTTTTAGGCTCTTGACGTTCCTGTACATGCCAGTAGGGCTGCAACCAACTAATCGAATAATCGATAATGAGAATAGTTGTCCACTATTCTCATTATCGATTAGTTAGTTGGATCTGCTAGCTCTCTCCTTCGCGCTGGGAGGAGGGCACAGCAAGCAGAGGACAGGTGTAATAGCCAGCCTGCTATTGGCTATTGCAATTTGAAATGGCTAATAGCAGGTTGGCTATTGCACCAGCCCACTACCTGCTGTATTTACATTCAGTTGCCGTCTGCGGAATCTTGCCACTGGCAGCTGTCATTCCCTCGCTGAAGCTATTCAAGCCCCATGTGCTCACAATACAATTATTTTTTTTTAAAAGTGAGAAGAAATCATTTTCGGTTTTGGCCTGACAAATTCTGATGCGGAAGGTGCATTGCAGTGCCATTCATTTCAATGGCACCCCAAATGCGTCTCCCACCCACAGTGTGTTCGCCCGCACTGAAACCAACTGTACCGCAATGACGTGCGATTGCAAAAAAATGTGCATGCATTCTGCCATAAACTTTGTTTTAACACTGCATTTGTGTATTTTATTTTAAATTAAGGATGGTATTTATTCCATTTTAATCAATTAATCAAAAAAATATTCAGCCAACTAATCAATTATGAATATAATCATTAGTTGCAGCCCTACATGCCGAAAAAGAGAAAGTTCCAGAGAATGTAGTGTTTTATTGGATATAACAGTTCAGTCAAAAAAACCTTCAGAATATTATGTTCTTCCTCTCATCGTTTTAGCAAGGATACAGACACCTCCATACACTCGGCATATATGTCCAGTCTATATATCCAGCTACAAATATAGACAAATTTGTTACTACCCTTCCACAAAAAAAAAGAACCCACAGTTTTCTGTGAAATAACTTAAAGAACTGCTTGTTTTTCTCTAGGTGTGAAAAAAAGTTATACTCACCTGAACAGTGGAGCTGGCTTAGCTTAAAGAACTGCTCGTTTTTGTCTACGTGTGAAAAAAACATATACTTACTCTTAAAGGTTAATTAAAGTTTTAGACAAAGATGGTAACCGCATCAATTTATAACCAGCCTTTGTAGCAGGGTGCACATGAGAAGGCTTACAACAATACAAAACACAAAAAAGTCCCCAGCACACCTGCCAGATAGCCTGCAACAAAACACATTACTCTGTTAACAGTATGCGTTAAAAATCAGAGGTTTTAGTTGCACAAACCTTTGGCCAAAAATATGTAGGAGCCATACCGCCCCGTCAAGGCACCTCTGTAAAGTGTGGTCCTAACTCTATTTATATGATTCTCCAAGTGGGAGCATATTAATGCAGCCGATAAATTAAATGGAGGTGTACCTGGAGGCAGCCTACTCCTCCTCAAAAAGGTGCAGGGACGCACTGGAGGCCCAGCAACCAAAAATGCACGCTGGGACCCCCAGTGCGCCCCCACATCAAAAATAGTGAAACTAGAAAAAGATGGTAACCGCATACATTTATAACCAGCCTTTGTAGCAGGGTGCACATGAGAAGGCTTACAACAATACAAAACACAAAAAAGTCCACAGCACACCTGCCAGCTAGCCTGCAGCAAAACAAATTACCCTGTTAACAGTATGCGTTAAAAACAGAGATTTTCTAGTTGCACAAACCTGTGGCCAAAAATATGTAGGAGCCATACCGCCCGGTCAAGGCACCTCTGTAAAGTGTGGTCCTAAATCTATTTATGGGTTTCTTTTTTTTGTGTGTGTTTTGTATTAAAGTTTTGCCCGGGGGTTCTTAACTATAGTCCCAGCATCTCATATGGTTGCTATGGGGCCTAAGGATGGGAGTGGGGCCCCATTACAGAGGTTGTTTAGGCAAATTATCAATAGAAAATCTGTGCATGTGAAGATAACTAGATTAGAGAGGTTGACACTGTCTCCCCGTGAAGTCTCCAGTCTAGATGGGCTGACAGCAGGGGCACAGGATGGTTGTGGCGGAAAGTTTCTGAAGCCATGTAAAGATTAGTCGCAATGCTTTCAGTTTATGTGTTAGAAACACGTGGAAAGCAAAATACTCGTATAAGGAGATTTATTTCTGATTAAAGTGATTGGAGATTGCATTATATTTTATTTAAACTTTTCAATTATATATAAAATGTATTCTAAACAAAACACAAATCTCAGAAGCTGCACATGATTTGTGGATGGACTGCTTCCATCAGCGGCTTCTGAGACAGTTTACCTTTTACTTTCCACGTTGACCTTTTTCATGTTTTGTTCACCAAAAATATGTGCTGTACTTTCCCTTGTTCCATCTCATAATTCGTGACTTGGTGAGGTTGGGTGCCATGTGTGAGTGGGTCAGCATGACTGGATGTATCATATTTTATCCACAAATAATATTACTTAAACATTAATTTACATAAATCTGTTTATATTGGGTTTGCTTTTAAAGTACGACTATAGATAAATAGCATATACACAGCTGAAATATAAATAAGTGACCTGTTGGCTGCCAAATGATTTGTTATTCTGTACAGTTCAGAAACACTTACCCCTGCCAGACAGCATAGCCCAGTTCCTGACCTTGTTTTTCTCTCTTTTTTTTATCATCCTACAGTTTTTTAAGGTTTCTGCCTTGCACTGAAGTGTTTTTTTTAATGTTTTAATCTTTGTAGCAGGGTGCACATGAGAAGGCTTACAACAATACAAAACACAAAAAAGTCCACAGCACACCTGCCAGCTAGCCTGCAGCAAAACAAATTACCCTGTTAACAGTATGCGTTAAAAACAGAGATTTTCTAGTTGCACAAACCTGTGGCCAAAAATATGTAGGAGCCATACCGCCCGGTCAAGGCACCTCTGTAAAGTGTGGTCCTAAATCTATTTATGGGTTTCTTTTTTTTGTGTGTGTTTTGTATTAAAGTTTTGCCCGGGGGTTCTTAACTATAGTCCCAGCATCTCATATGGTTGCTATGGGGCCTAAGGATGGGAGTGGGGCCCCATTACAGAGGTTGTTTAGGCAAATTATCAATAGAAAATCTGTGCATGTGAAGATAACTAGATTAGAGAGGTTGACACTGTCTCCCCGTGAAGTCTCCAGTCTAGATGGGCTGACAGCAGGGGCACAGGATGGTTGTGGCGGAAAGTTTCTGAAGCCATGTAAAGATTAGTCGCAATGCTTTCAGTTTATGTGTTAGAAACACGTGGAAAGCAAAATACTCGTATAAGGAGATTTATTTCTGATTAAAGTGATTGGAGATTGCATTATATTTTATTTAAACTTTTCAATTATATATAAAATGTATTCTAAACAAAACACAAATCTCAGAAGCTGCACATGATTTGTGGATGGACTGCTTCCATCAGCGGCTTCTGAGACAGTTTACCTTTTACTTTCCACGTTGACCTTTTTCATGTTTTGTTCACCAAAAATATGTGCTGTACTTTCCCTTGTTCCATCTCATAATTCGTGACTTGGTGAGGTTGGGTGCCATGTGTGAGTGGGTCAGCATGACTGGATGTATCATATTTTATCCACAAATAATATTACTTAAACATTAATTTACATAAATCTGTTTATATTGGGTTTGCTTTTAAAGTACGACTATAGATAAATAGCATATACACAGCTGAAATATAAATAAGTGACCTGTTGGCTGCCAAATGATTTGTTATTCTGTACAGTTCAGAAACACTTACCCCTGCCAGACAGCATAGCCCAGTTCCTGACCTTGTTTTTCTCTCTTTTTTTTATCATCCTACAGTTTTTTAAGGTTTCTGCCTTGCACTGAAGTGTTTTTTTTAATGTTTTAAGTGACGATATGCACTTAAAGTGTAAATCCACATTGTGGGCTTTAATGTCCTCCCTCATGCCTGCTGACAAGTCAAACACTTACCTCTCCTTGTCCTGCTGTGCAGCCTGTTCAGCACTCTGTAAAATCTCAATAGTTGAATCTTGCTCCTCCTGCACATGCACGCCATGATCTTTATTTGTTCTAATGGAAGTTCTTACACCATTCATCTAGAATACAGACTTTGTCGTAATGAATACAGATTGTGGCATGAAGAAAGAGAAGAATCTAATGGCTAAGATCTTAAGAATAGTCTGTGCAACGCTGTACATGCTGCACAGCAAAATTCTCATTGAATTAGGGACAAGTTAAAGTGATATTAAAGCCAAAACGTTTTTGATCTATTTCAAATGCTGATGATCCCTTACAATGGATGATGTTCAGGGAAGCAGAGCTGAGATAATTGGAACCGTTCTGAAAAATGATGACTTGGCAAAAATGTAAAGAAATACTTTGCTGGGCAATGTATATTTGTTTGAACTGGATTCATTGTTGGGGAAAAAAGGTTTAGCGTTCAATACTACTTTTATTGTCTTGTCAGAGGATGACCACTAACTCTGGGCATCCTATTTGTTACGTTTATAGTGCGGATGTGGAATTTCTGCAGACAATACCAGTTTTTGGAAGCAACTGTAGTGACCTGCTTGTTACCACAAAAGAGGGACTGTTTGTTCTGAGGGGGCAAGACTTGGAGCAGAAATGGAGCATCGCTCTGAAGAACATTTATAGGTTTGTAGCCTTCACAAGTGTTCCTCATGGCAAATATTGTTTTATCATTTCTCTAAGCTGTTTCTCTGAATAGATAAAAATGCTAATTTTAGTAATTACCTGTTTTAAATAAGTAAGAACATAGATGCTCACTCCTTTAAGTTAAATCCAGGTTTCTTCTTGTTCTGGATCCTACGGTTTGTAATACATTGCCGCTTACTAGTCCTTAGATGATGCCTGCATTAGTTTTTCTTTTTAGGCTTTTTATTTCTTTATTTTTACCTGGTAATTCTTAGCTTTGGAGTTAGGTCAGTGTTAAGAATCGTTTTCAGGTAAGTACTATAACTAGGGATGTACTGATACCAGTATCAATGCAGATACTGGGCATTTCCAGGATTACTTGTACTCATGAAAATGTACCGACACTAAGCACAGATACCATCACTGTACATTTTTTAAACCTAAGCCGGCGCATTTCTAAATATTACTGCTTTCTGTATGTGGCCACAGAGAAAGTTACAAGAGATCTTTCCAGTTAGGTCAGAGACCACAATAAAGAGCTGACACAAGTTTTACCCTTCGTCGTTCGAAACTACAGTTGGGCTTTAGGATGATGCCACTTTTGCTCTCAAAGAGGTAGGGGGTGACTACTCTGACGCATTCAGGTCTCTGTTTCACATCTTCCTTCCTTCTGAGACTTCAGCTGATTAGAGCTCCAACTTCTTGGCTAGAAGTGGAAATATAAAAAGTTCATATGCAGAATTTCAATATTTGCAATCTATTTTGTTCCTAATGGTCATGAAAAATAAGATATATTGAAAAAACACTTGCATAACATTTGCTTTGAAGGTTTCACATTCACCTATAAAGCTTAAAAAATATATTTAAAGGACAATTATTCCCTTGCGTTTTTTTCCATATATCTACTGCTAGCAAGCAGTAGATATATGCAAAAACATTTTAAAAAGTTAACAATTGGGCTATTTGGTCGGGGATGGAGCTACTTTTTTCGGACTCTTAAGCTGTGTGAGCGCTTTAGTACATAGATGCTGGACAGAAAGTCTTCTATTGATATAGATATGGAGGAGATCATAACAAATGTTTGCTTCAGACATAGGCGGATCCCTAGGCCAGATATTCCTCTCAGACTGTTCTGATTTTTGATTTTAGTGATGGGGGATAAATTGGCAAGAATAGGTGGATAGATATGCTCTGTTGTACAGAACTATTATATATTGTGTGTATGGCCTCTAGTGATCCCCTCCTACTACTTGATTATGGTAATGTGGAAGAAACGGTAATGCAATGGTATGCTATACTGATTGTGCATCATGTGCTATTTTATTGTTTTATTGTACCGTATATACTCGAGTATAAGCCGTCCCGAGTATAAGCCGAGGTACTGAAAATTAAAATACTTTGAAAGTTAAAGTTAACAAAAACGTTAAAACTTACCTGTGTCTCTGCCGCATGCTCCCGTCCAAAGATCTGAATATTCTTGGACGGCCGCAAAGGATCATGGGGTGGGCACTTGTGCAGTAGAGAGCTTTGGCCGAGAGAAGAGGAGAGACACAGGGTAAGTCAATGCAGGCAGACCGGCAGCGTGCACGCGCACAGACACGGTGGGACACAGAAGACACAGCAGTCAGCGCTGGAGGGACTCCTGAAAACTACTGGACAGAAGAAGATGATCAGATCAAGAGGCATTAAGGTAAGTCCTTCATAAAGCAATGGGGGGGGGATACAGAATATAAATTTAAAGTCTAAAGGATAAATGTGTTTTTTTTTTGGTCAACATTTCATTATTTAAGGCTACAGATAATCCAAGATATATTTTAGCGTGTCGTATAATACAATTTATGATATCATTGGTGTACAGAGCATTAACATTTATTCAGTTTTTAGTTTTGTATTTGATTATTTTTTTCACAGACTGACATATTCTTCTCTTTCTATAGTATTCCTCAGCCTGGTTACTTTAACACTGATGGGAATCTGGATTTCTTTGTACAAATTCAGAGTAGCAATGATCGGAAAAAGGTATGTGTTCATATTCTGGACAGAATATACTATTGTGTGTTTTTATAGTTCTCAGAAAGGTCATACTACTAAAAGGAGAAATTAAGCTCGTGCTATGTGGAGGCAACCTAACCAAATAAATGCAGAAACAACATTTTCCATCATTTCTCCTTTGAGTTGCTCTAGGTCAGGGGTAGCCAAACTTTGGCCCTCCAGCTGTGGTGAAACTACAAATCCCATAAGGCTATACAATGCATGTGCTTTACTGATCCATACAGAGCAGTGCATTTTGCAAAAAGAGGATTTTGGGTAGGGCTGAATCAACGAGTCAATGTTTCTCTTTATCGATTAGTTGATCCAGATCCCCTGCTTTTCTCCTCCCCACTGGGAGTCAGTGTTTCATCGGCTCTGTGTCCCCTCCGAGCCCCGCTGCTCCCAGCGGG